AAAAAGAAAGGGGCCCCAAAGCCCACAGACGGCAGGCAGCAAGAAGAATTACCTCCTGCTGCCATCGCGCTTAAGTGACGACGATGAAGATCAACAAAGTGTTGATGAATCATCATCTACTAGTACAGGTTCAGATTCTGATTCAGATGTCGAATCTGTGGACGAAGAGGATGATGATTTTTTGCAGCCGGTGAGAACGCTAAACCCTAAATCTCCTGCCCCTCCCCTGTTTTCGCATTCGTATAGGATTCAATTTTTGAAGAAAAGGAAAAAAAAAGAGTACTTTGAATTTTTGTAACTTTTCTCTAAATTCCTTTTTTTTTTTTTATTGGCAATGGTGTGTGCAGGAGAGCAATATACCGATAATTGACAAAGAAACAAACAGACTTGCAGTTGTTAATTTGGACTGGAGTCAAGTGAGGGTGGGTATTATCAATTTTATTTACTATTTGCATTTCTCTTCAAGATCAATGTATATGTGGTTTTCTGCTATCCGTATCTATTATTCTCACACATGAAGAACACGATGGATATCCGTTATTTATACTTCTTTGAAATGTCAATAGCTTATGATTGTTTTCTCCAATTGCATGCATGCATAGTGATATTTATATATCATAGTTTTCTATTGATTATTAGGGATACTTGCTTCGTTCCAATCATTTCTGGATTGAATGAGATTGAACTCAAATGTGTAATATGTCAGCTCGTGTGGTGTGATTTTCTAAGTAAAATAGGCTGCTGTAGTCCGGTATACTATATTGTACTTCTGTCTTCTGGTGCTTGCCATTTAGACTATCGTTTAAAGATTTTTATGTAAAGTTTTAAATTTGGAAGTAATACACTGCTTTCATTGATTCTGCATTCATGCAGTCCTCATATCTATTTATATTGTTGTATCTCCATGCTGTTAGTTTCATACTGAAAACTTCTTTAATTTTGTAGGCTGTTGACTTGTACGTTTTGATGAGTTCCTGTGTTCCAAAAGGAGGACAAGTTGTGTCTGTAACTGTTTATCCATCTGAGTTTGGACTTAAGCGCATGGAGGAGGAGGCTGTACGTGGTCCCGTTGGATTATTTGACGATGATGAAGAGGAAACTGATGGAGATGATGATGAGATTGATAACACTAAACTACGTGCTTATGAATTAAGTAGGCTAAGGTATCAATTTCTTATATGTCTACTAGATCTACGTTTTTTTATTCGGTTATGTTTGTATTCTTGTTTATGGCTGTATTTGTATTCTCGATGTTTTCATATATCGAAACACGACTAAGCATTTGTTTAAAGGATAAAAGTGGTTATCTGTAAGCTGCAAGAAGGAGATATTTATGGTGTGTTATCAATCAATTAATTATACAGTGTCTTATCTTACATTTATGGTTTAGGTACTATTATGCTGTTGTGGAATGCGATTCAATTGCTACAGCAGATTACATTTACAAAACTTGTGACGGGATTGAGTTCGAAAGATCAGCCAATAAGTTGGATCTGAGATTTATTCCAGACTCTATGGAGTTTAAGCATCAGCCTCGTGATACTGCTACTGAGGTAATTTCCGCCTCTAGATCAGCAGATGCAACAATTCTGTTTTTTTCTTTGTTTCTTCCATTATGGTTAAGATTCATAGTTTCTCACTCTAGTCCGGTTCCTGATTAAGATGTAATCAACAATTCATATATTTGAAATAGACTATTCAGTCTGTAAAAGTGTATGTCTAACTTATAAGGATTGCCTTTTTGGGGATAATTACCAGATGCTTGAACAAAACCCTGGCTGTTTTAAAGAAATTCTTATAAATTTTACAAATGAACTTTTCCAAGACTTACTGATTCTTTCTGCTATTTTAGGCACCAGCTGATTACGAAGGTATAGATTTTCAAACTCGAGCACTGCAACACAGTAACATTCATCTCACATGGGATGAAGATGAACCTCAGCGTGTAAAGACCATGAAGAGAAAACTCAATGATGGACAGGTTGGTTCATTTGAAACGTCTAAACATAAAATATCAGTTTTTTTATATGTATTTGCAAGTTTGTTACTAGGTATCCACCTCCATTTGGTTGCACGTATGTCTATATATTCATTATTTGAATCCAAAAGTGAACAGGGGGAAGTCAAACCGGAGCACGTAAATCGATAAATCATGATTATTCTAATTAGTTAGCATTGCAACTGCAAGATAATTAACTCAAAGAGGGTGCATTATCTGAACGCAACTGTGGACTTGTTTGTAAATTTTATCAAAGTTCTGTTTTGTGTCTCCTATATAATAATATTCCGACTATTTTTGTTTTCTTTCAGCTTGCTGAGTTGGAAATGAAAGAGTTTTTGGCCTCTGATGAGAGTGAATCCGACGAAGAAGATAATGTTGATAACACAGAAGAAAAATCTCTGAAAAAATGCAGCAAACGAGATAAGTACCGCGCTCTGGTCCAATCAGGTGACGGCTCAGACGAAGATAACGAATATGATAGTGATCAACAGGACATGGAAGTTACTTTCAACACCGACTTAGAAGACATAAGCAAACGTATATTAGAAAAGAAGAACAAAGAAGCAGAGACTGTGTGGGAGTCTTATCTCCGAAAGAGAAAGGAGAAAAAGAAAGCATCGAAAAAAGGGTCCAAGTATTCTTCATCAGAGGATGAAGGTATTGATCGTACTGAACGAGAACAAGTTGATGATTTCTTTGTTGAAGATGAGCCTTCGGCTATTGGGAGTACTAAAAAAAGGAAGGCTGGTCAAGAAACAGCAGAAGAAGCCGAAGAAGCCGAAGAAGCAAGCAGAGCAGAACTTGAGCTTTTAACTGCTGACGACAATGGAGGAGAGGCCAACTTAAAGGGCTACAATTTGAAACCTAAGAAGATCAAAGGAAAGAAAGGGAAGGGAGTTCAAGATGAGGCGAAAATACCGAGTTTCGAGGTTGAAGATCCGCGTTTTTCAGCTATATTGACATCTAGCCACTTCTCTATCGATCCAACTGACCCACAATACAAAAGGTGTGTAGTAGATGAATTTATCTTGTTTTATTTAATAAACGTGAAGATTTAATCAAGAAATATAAAAAACAGCAACCCCTGTGGTATGGTTTAATTACGAAAAAATACGAAAGAACGCTCCTTGTTTGCATAATTACAACCACCCCTGCAAATAACTCTTACGGAGTTAACACTAGCGGAATCATCAAAATTCTAAGGAATATTCGTTATGAATTGACACTTGGACACCTATCCTATTGAAAATATGGTGTCCCGTAGTACGGTTAGGGGTCTAAATATAATGTTTTGCAAATATGGAGTGTTTTTTTTAATAAGCTATTAATTTCTCTTTTAAAACTTATGCCCATACTATACCCTTAGGGATCGACATGTGATGTTTTCCATTTTTGATCTTTCAATAGAGATGCCATTATTTCGCTAATAAGACTACGATTAACGATGATTTCTCGTGTCGTTTTTTGCTGATACAGGAGTGCAACTTATGTTCGGCAAGTTGCACAAAAGCAGAAGATTGGGGACAAGAAAAACTCAGAACAAACGGATCACTTTGAGATTCCCGACGAGGCTTCAATGCACAAACACGACAAGGTAATATCTGAGGAATCCACTAAAAGACAAGAAAAGAATGAGTTATCTTCACTAGTCAAGTCAATCAAAATGAAGTCGAGTAAATTATCTTTAGCCTCTCAAGCTAAAGTACCTCAGAAACGCACAAATTTGCAGTTCAATGCAAAGAGACAAAAAAAGTAGGTAAAAAATTGATGCAGACTGTGTGCTGCATCGTGTCACCAAAACAAGAGGTTGAGGATGCAAGAAAAAAACGGATATTTATTGGATTAAGGTTTTTGGCAAAGATGATGAATTGTTTTTGTACGAGATAGGACTTGCCCGTTTTTTACTGTTGTTTCGAGAATTTCTCAGTTTTGATATTGAAGTTCATTTTTCTTAATGTCACATTATTTCATTGTGATTCTACAAAGTTTGAATATGTTGTATTGCATGGATGGATACTACTTGGCATAACTCAGTTTTTCAATGACTTGTATTTTATAATGTAGAATTTCAATTTCTGTTCCATATTCGAAAGTAAGGTTGGGGCTAGAATTCGTCTATCTTAGCTTTATCGGTTACGGTTGAGCACCGACTCTCCTAACGAGGGTTGGGTTAGGATCGATAACATAATTTTTTTTCTTCTACAGAAATTCAATTTTCAGAATGGGCTACACCAATTTTTCAGAATTTCGCTGTTAAATTTTATAGATTTCTTCTACATAAAATCAATTTAAAGAACACACAATGAAACGTAAAAAAAAAAAAAAACGAAATTACTTACTCGTCTCCATTATGGGGAGAGGTCGGGTGTTCAAATTCTTTTCGAGCCATGTATTGTAATAATGGTTACATCATACACGATTCATTTTTTTTTTTTTTTTTACTAAAAAAATAATTTTTCAGTACCTTTAAACATAAACCATTAAAAAATGGGCAACTTACGGCCAACCCCTTGAGTTATGATCAATACAGTCATCCCTCAACTATGTATTATCTTACGAAAAGACCCATCCAGAGATAAATATAGGGATGTTAATTCGGTAAAACCATACATCAGGGTAGCCGTATTTTGCTCTTAAAATAGCATGAAAATATCCATCATTAAAAAAAGAAATGGCAAGAAAGCCAAAATCAGAACCACATGACCAAAGAGAAAAATGCAAGAGTTTCCACAACATGCGGAGTCTTTGCCTAAAAATATCCAACCACACAAATACACATATAAAACACCCTCCCCATTCTCCACTATAAAGAACACCCTTCCTCGGACAATCAATCCAATCAATCAATAAAACCAACAAATAAAACATCGGATTGTCGAAAAAAGAAAAAAACCAAAAAAACCAAAAAAGAAAAAAAGAAAAACAAATGATGGGCAGGGTGAATTCACTACTAGCAATATTACTAGTAGTTTCCACCACATCATTATTATCGGATCTTGCCTATTGCGAAGATCCATACGTTTACCAAACATGGGACGTAAAATACGCAACCCTCTCACCGTTGGGCGTCCCGCAGCAAGTCATCACGATCAACGGCCAATTCCCGGGCCCGAAGATAAACTGCACCTCCAACAACAACATCGTCGTCAACGTGTTCAACAACCTCGACGAGCCGTTGCTGCTGACGTGGAACGGCGTCCAGCAGAGGAAGAACTCGTGGCAAGAGGGTACATTGGGCACTAACTGCCCGATCCTACCGGGGACTAACTACACGTACAAGTTCCAGGTCAAGGATCAGATCGGCAGCTACTACTACTACCCTACCACCCCTCTCCACCGCGCCATGGGGGGTTACGGCCCCCTTGCCGTCCACAGCCGTGACCTCATCCCTGTCCCGTTCGATCTCCCCGAGGACGATTATTTTGTTTTCGTTGGTGATTGGTACAAGAAGGGCCACGCTTCGTTGAGGAAGCTTCTTGACGGGGGCCGGTCGCTCGGCCGCCCTGACGGTGTGATCATCAACGGGAAGGGTAGTTTCGGAACTGGTAATAAGACAGGGGGCGAAGATTCGCCCATGTTTACCATGATCGCGAAGAAGACGTACAGGTACCGATTCTGTAACGTCGGGATGAAGGATTCGGTCAACGTGAGGATCCAGGGCCACACGATGAAGATCGTCGAGATCGAGGGCTCCCACACGGTGCAGAACGTTTACGATTCCCTCGACGTGCATCTCGGCCAATGCTACTCTGTCCTGGTGACCGCCGACCAGAAGCCAGAGAGCGACTACTACCTGGTGGCGTCCACCAGGTTCTCGAAGAAGGCCCTCACCTCCACCGCGATCATCCGATACGTCGGTGGGGGTCAGGTGCCTCCGTCACCGGAGCTGCCTCCAGCTCCGGTGGGTCTCCCCTGGTCGATCAACCAGTTCAGATCGTTCAGGTGGAACCTGACCGCGAGCGCAGCCAGGCCCAACCCGCAGGGGTCGTACCACTACGGGAAAATTGACATCACGCGCACGATCAAGTTCGTGCTGAAGCCGTTCAGCAAGGTCGGTGGCAAGCGCAGGTACTCGATCAACGGTGTCTCGCACGTGGACCCGGAAACCCCCTTGAAGCTGGCCGAGTACTACGGAGTGGCCGACAAGGTTTTCAAGTACGACATGATCAAAGACCAGCCGTCGGACAGCGACCTGGCCGCGGAAGTCATCGTCGCGCCCAACGTGATCAACGGGACATTCAGGAACTTCGTCGAGATCATACTCGAGAACCACGACAAGAGCGTCCAGACTTTCCACGTGTCCGGATACTCTTTCTTCGCAGTCGCGTAAGTAAAAACCACACACACATACATACATACATACATAAATAAATATGACATCGAATAGCAACATAATTTACGTACGCATGCATGCAAATATATGAAACAGGGTTGAGCCGGGGAGGTGGACGGAGGAGAAGAGGAAGAACTACAACCTGATAGATGCAATAAGCAAACACACAGTGCAGGTGTACCCGAACAGCTGGACAGCGATTATGACAACGTTGGACAATGCCGGAATGTGGAACATGAGATCTATGTCTTTGGAGAGACAGTATTTGGGGGAGCAAATCTACGTAAGCGTTCTCTCCCCGAATCGATCCCTTCGCGACGAATACAATCTCCCGGATACGCAGTTGCTCTGCGGGATTGTCAAGGACATGCCAAAGCCACCACCATACAGTTCTTGATCCATTATATACTTATTAATTATCATCACTACTTCAACTGGGATTTTTTCAATTTTATATAATATATAAGTATATCTATCTATATATATGTGTGTGTGTGTGTGTGTATTGTTCTACTATGAAGAAATAAAAGAAGAATGTAATAATTATTAAGGTATTATTAATTAAAGAAACAATAAGGGAAGAAGAAGAAGAAAAAAAGGGAAGACAATGTAATAGTGGTTTGGTGTGATAATTAATCCAGGGCCACCGTCACGTGAGTTTTGGTAGAATAGGGTTTTATTTGTAATTTGTTGTACTTTTTCCTCATTATTATTTATTTTTCTTTTCCCCATGATTAATAATTTATATTTACTTTATTTTTTAAATCGATCTCATTCTAACACACAACATTCATACACTCTATATGTATTGAATTGTGTGTGAGATGTTTTTTTTGTTATTCACGCTCTGTAAGATGTTTAAGAGCTTATAATAAAGATCTTAAATTTAAAGAAAAAAAAAAAGTTGTGGGAGGACAAATAAGATATTTTTTTTCTTTTTTCATGTAACAACTTACAACTCTTAAAACATCTTATTAGATGTAAGAGCTCATTTCTCCAATCTTGTATTCAACCATTTGCAAGAATTTGTAAGTTTCTTGACAATATTGGTGACTCGGACACAAGTAATTAATTACTTGTGTATCCATTTTTTGATATAAGAATAGCATGTTTGCAGTAAATCATTCATTTGTGATTGTTAGTTATGATCTATGTTACGAGTGAACAAGTGGAATTCTCAACAAATGTTGTTTCTATAGCTGTATCTGTATTCAGTGCAGTGCAGCAGCAAAAATAATAATGCTGGTTGATTCAACCTCTCGCCTTTTTTCCTATCATACGTACATACATACTATGTTTGGTGGATTTGCGATAATTTATCACAAGATGCTACTCTGATAGAAATGAATAAGGTAGTGCAGTGCGTATATCCTCACAACTTTCGTATTTGTGCTCATTCACAAAGGCCACTCCAGTAAGCCTAACATTGCGCAGAGGGGATGCTTTGAAGGTTGAAGAAATGGGCTCTTAGTGAATACCAGATCACACACTTCTATTAAATCATTTTCGACTATTGTTTTGTTGATTCTCTTGATTCTGCGTATGCACTTCTTATCTTGTTATTTATTACTCAATGGTGCGAAATATACACGTTTTGTTGCCATAATGCAATCGTCCATATTTGCCAAAATTTGCAAGGATTGTAATAGCATTAGTAGCCCAAGGATAAAGTGATATATATTCTAAGCAAATTCTCATTCTGGAAGCAGGATAACTATATCAAGTTCATGTTCGTCTACCAAGGCTAAAAAAATTTGTGTAATATGAATTTTCTTACACATCCATCCTTGCGGTGTCTAATTTTGTAGAATCTTTTAGATTAATATGAAATATTCTCAATTTTGTATCCATTTTACCCCATTTGAGCTCTACATTTTAAAGCAAGATGATCATAAGATGTGTTTTTTGGCTTGATATATCAAATTGTGGAGCATCAGAAACTGCATTTTTGCACAAAATAAGTACAAATTAGAGAACATTCCACGGAATCTAAAAGATTATGTTGAATTTGACACCATAAGAGTGGACGTGTAAGAAAATTCATAGTTGAGGAGGGGTAGTTGTAATTATCCAAATATTAGGGATTTTTTCGTAATTTGACCATACCTCAGGGAGTTGACCATAATTTACCCTAATATTAATAGCATTCGACAATATGATGATGGTCTAAGAATAATAGACATCCAACGGTCAACAGTAAATGCTCTTTCATCATTCTACAAAAAAATTTACACGAGAGTCGAAAACCCGACTCTCAGTAAAAAGTAAAAACACATCCTATTCCATTTCTCCTTTCCATATCTATATTATATAACACCATAATCTTGCAGAAGTAAGAAATACCAAAGATCTGCAGAAATAGAAGTCGAACAATAAAAAGAGAATAATAATACAAACGAAAGGGGGAAAAATGATTCTTCTCCGACTAAATTTCCAAACACGATATTACCCGTGTTGAGAGAGTTAGCCGAACTTTCTGACCTATCCGGAAGAAGAAATTTCATGTGGCAACAGTCTGTTCAACTGCATCCTAAAAAGGTCGGTAAGTGCAGCACGAACTTCCATCTGCAAAAGGGACTTTGTTATTAACCCGAACATAGATATTTAATACCATCAAAATTTAACAGCTCAATAGGAGTCGTGTCGATTTACCTGGTCACAGCAGACAAGTTTCGTAATTAAAGGATAAAAGTCCCGGAAGTGATTTCTGAAAATCTGAGCATTCATTTGGCACATGCTTTTCAGCACCTGGAATACGAAAAAATAAGCTTACAAGTCACAATTAAAAACCAAACACCTTGTATCGCGAATATAAGCGATCCTCAAACCGAACACCTGGCATCTTGATTTATTTACGGATGATACAGATTTTACGGATCCCTCACTAAAAGCCATAACTCACTAGGATATTGATGACCATTTAATTTAATCACGTCTATAACTCAAGTTTAAGACAGTACACTTTAATTTTTTTCTAACCATCTTCCCCAACCTAAAAGCAAAGAGAAGAAAGTAATTCGTACCTTTACAATAATAGGAGATCTAAGTTCTAGAACTCGATGAATATCCATATTAGACGCCTCTTCCATGCTAGATTGAAAATCAGATGCCTCTTTCAGCACATGTTCACAAAAAAACACAAGCTTTCCTTCAGCTATTCCTTCAAGTTTCTCTTCTTTAACGTCTTCTTCTTTCTGAATATCAACTGTTTCTGTCGTCTTTTGGAGGATATCCAGATAGATACAAGTTCCAGCCAACTCCTGACGGAGAAGATTCAGCGGTGGTCTATTCAGGGGGAAAAAAAACCATGTCTTAACAGAAAAATCATAACGTGGAAGCAGCCAGCTCAAAGCTAATAAATTTGCAAACTCCAAGTCAGAAGCACATATCAGCTAACCTTTCAGCGGGAATTAGGTGCATTCGTGATCTGAGATTAGTAAAAGAATTGTATGAGGCAGCAAAATCCAGGACAGAGAACAAAATTTCCATAATGGTGATCTTCTGGTGCGTGTTCAACTTGTACCAGTACTTCTTCTGCAAATGTAACATTACGTAGATAATGTAATCTATTAAATCCCAAGAGTTTCATAGCAACTTAATGTCATTTTTTAAAGTCAGCATGTATGAGATAGATTAAGCAATTGAGGAAGCAGTAGTAGATTTTAACAGTCCCCAGTAACAGAAGGCTTATAACTTACTGTCACATGCAAGTAGGATTTGACCAATCAAATAGAAACTATAATAAATCACTTAATTTGGAAATAAGATATCTTAAGTACCTGAATACTATCAATGGCACCTAACAGTAACAATTGCGTTACGCATTTACTCCTAATGGTCCCCAGCATTAGACTTTGCTCCTCGGCTCCGGAATCAGGCTCCACACTAGCATCAGGAGACTACAGAACAAACAAAAGAAAAGGTCAAAACCAGTTCCTATCATATTTAATACATCTTGAAGGTATTTAATGAAGTAAATGTCATCGACTGTTACTGCAAGAAAAATATCATTTATGAATACTTGTGTCTTGAGAATCAAGCCAATCATTTCATACACTAAACACTACCGAAGACCAACAGGTCTGGTAATTTACTAAAACTGTTCACCATGCAGAAGGGCTCAAATATGTTATTGTGATAGTCCTTGTATACAGCAGCTGCGCATCTAATGTATCCTTCACAATTACATATTAAGAAATGAGTGTGCACATTAAACAAATAAGGCCAAAAAGGATATATTAGATGCGCACTACAATATACAAGGAGTACCATATAAATTTGCAAAAACTTGAATGCAATACCAACCTTGGATGGAGAAGATGGTATCATTACATCAGATGCACGGTCTTTTGGCTTTGAGGTAAAACTTCTCACAAACATGTTGTCCATCATATTCCCCATGAATTTTTGTCCAAATGTTTGACTACGTTGAAGACTTCCATCATCAGTAGCTCTAGTAGTACGCCCAGATGGTGATGGTGTACCTACAGAAAGACGTCAAAATTTAAGCTTATAATATATTTACTGTCAACTTCAATATAGTTACCAAACAATAAATTGTATAGCATATCAACATGCTAACCTTCAGATCCTTCCATGTCCACTGGACGCACAATTTCTTGATTGTGATCCAGTGCATTTCCATTAATATTGGTATCTATTCCCACCGTATTCCCATTTTCATAGACAGTATCTTGACGGCTGTATGAAAAATTACCACCAGAGGCTACGGGTGATGCGTTGTCCAAGTCTCTGGCCAATACTTTATGATGTTTATTGCTCTCAAAACCCAGATTACTGAGAAGTTCAAGGGGTTGGGTTGTGTATGAAGCATCCCTGGTCAAAAATAAGACGCTCGGTGAAACCAAAATAACATCACCATACAAAAAAAGAATGCAGCTCACAATTTAATAGCGAAAACAAATTAAAATCTCAGTTTCTCTCTTCAGTGTGTGTGAGTGTGAGATGGAGAAAGTCTGTGAGTATATATATGTACATATGTTTTCATGTGTACCTTATACTTTTCAGCAAAGTATCCCAGTCGTTATCAGTGAACTGATGCCCTCCAACTTCAATAAGATGCACTAATGCACCCAAAGATATTGAAACTACTGATTGATCTGTTTTCTTGGCACAATCCAATAGTAAGCTGAGCAGTGGAGGTAGCATAAAACACACATCCTACATAAATGAGACATCAATTATCACAAAACTAGTTTAATGCCTTGAAGAGCAATTCTCAAATATGAAAGGCTGTGGAATCATCAAAAGTAGTTTCGACATGTTTCATGGATGACTTTTGAGTTACCTTGTAGAAAGTGTTGAAAAGATTGCATAACAACTGTAGCGAATGAACGCTGCTTTCACGAAGCCATTCATCCCCAGAAGGCATAAAACTCTCTTTTCCGGCATGCCTCACATTATCAAATATAGGAAACAGGACTCGTTGGAAGATATTCTCCCAGAATGAAGATGAGAATTTGCTCCCTCTCTCATTCAGCAAGTCGAACAAAACTTCAAGTGCACAATTTCTGACCTCAGCTCTTGGATCAGAAGTCAGATCAGAAAGACCAGCCAGCATAGGGAACCAGTAATGCTCAGTAACATCACAAGTTTCGTCTGCAGTTATGTCAATAGGTTTCAGTGCACCACCTGGTATAAGGCCCTGGAATGAAAAAAAAGAAAAGAAATTACTCATGTATGCCTCAGTAAATATATTTTAGCTTTCGAGCCATCACTGTTATAGATAGTTTTCTTTTCATGCAACTAGACGAATTAAAAATCCACGAGACATTCCTTCTAGGGTTTTTGCCATTCTGAAACACTTGGATTTTTTCTATCCCAAACCTATGTTACTGTAATATAGAGATGCTAGTCATGATTATTAATTTCATGAAAAGTTTCTACAGCAAATTGAGGTCCAGCAGGAAATGGTACATCCGCCCAAGCTGCATTTACTCGGACAGTGAGAGTAGCACATAAGACCAGAGAAAAAAGGAAAAGGTCCAATATCAGAATTAGTAGGGAAATCTCCATCTTATAGGAGTTCTAGCATATATCAGCTATGTCGGGGGTTAATAATTGACAACTTAACGCAGATTATGTGCAAAATAACAAAATAAGATTCAGTATTTGCTCCTTGTTCAGTCCATGATCATCCCATGATATCAGTTGGCAAATGCAGCCATACAATACCAATGCACTTATGTTAGATTCCATTTCATCAATGACCACAACTATAATATATGTCAAGAAAGTAGAGAAATAAATATTAGAAACGCACATCATGACTGAAAACACAAATTCTTCAATAAATGTAAAAAAATAAAATTACTTGACAACAAACCTCTGCAAGACGATCCTCGCAAATGCGGAGCAGAGCAATGGCCTTCAAACTTATACGAGGAGAACTTTTGTTATTGGCAAATCCGATAAGGCAGTTGACACAATCCATAAAGCAATCCCCGACAACCTGATCGAAGTGTTCCAATACAACTGCACCATTACTCTGTGTTAGACTAACTTTCTAACACATTAGAAATTTGTTAAAATGTATCTCACAACAAAAACAGGAAACAGAGAAGTAGTTCCAACCCTGTTCCACATTTTCAAATGCACTTTCAACTGTGAGTTCCAAGTCATCATCTGCGGCAGCAGTGAAAATCATGAACACGCTTCGCCAGCCGGACTTTATGCTTCCAACTTTAGATTTTATCATCTGTTCTACCCACTCAAATATTTTACTATCCAATAACACACAAAAAAAAAAAAGGAAAAACATAATATCTGGCAGACATACCTGAACAATGCAATCCACTATAAGCCTGCGTATGTTATCACTTCTACTGCTTCGTATGAGAACAACAAATGGCTTTAAAATATCATTCTGGAAAGTGAAATTTGCAAGTTCAGCACGTTCCAAATATTTCATAGCAAGTTGCCTTAGAGAATCTATGGCATACATAGCAACTTTTTCATCAGGATGGCTTCCAGCAAAGATGAAATGATGGGCCAAGACAGACCATATTCTAGCCCAAACCTGAAAATATATCAAATGTACTATGATATCGAGCAGGCTTACATTCATAAAATTCATCCACGTGCATACAGAGATTTACATATCCATGTCAACAAGGTAATAAACCAAGTCTCAGGAAGTAAAAATATATTTATAAATAGAATGTCGATGAGATAATGACTGAATACGTGGAAGTATTACCAGGCACGTGTATAGAGCTAAAACTAGCGTAACTAAGGAATCTAAAAAATGTAAGCTATTAGAAGCATACAGAAAAGCATTGAAAAAATCAAAATAAACATAATATGAGGAGGTGAAGAAATTACCATGCGTATACGAGCCATATTATAGTAGCTGATTTCAACAACCTTTTGCAAGCTAAAAACACGAGCTGGATGCTGTTTTAATTCCTCAGCTGACACACTGCACAAAGCAGTAAAAAACTCCACCACTGTTTCACTGGGTAATTTGCTGCTGTTCACAAATACTTGCTCAGTTGGTTTGCCAGCCAGCTCTCTCAGAGATTGAAGAGTAGCTTCTCTGGAGATCTGATTTGATCCTTGCATGACAGTTGCAGTCATAGCAGGCCATGATACCGTATATTCAAGGCGGGAAATGCATTCCAGGATGGCAAACCAAGAGTCTTGAAAGGCATAGATATCAGTATCACATAAAGTAAGTAGCGTGCGTAGTGCCTCTACATTTTTCCCACGCATATCTCTTGGTGCATGCAAAAAGTTGTACCTGCAATTCATTTTCAGAACCATCATATCATGCTTAGCAAAAGTTTTTATATGGTCAACATGTACTATGTAGGTAGAAAAGTTAAGCAGATGAATTGCTAATAATCAACTCGCGGCACTTCCCTTTTTCTTTGTTTTTTAGGTTTCCTGATCTTCATGACCCAATACAATATTATTAACTACATTTCTTTAAAAATGGAAAGGGTGTTGATATGTCCTATCCACATAGGAAGCCCACCCTCTTCCACACATTACCAGTGGATGCTACAAAGTAGAACCACTATCTATAGCTTCAGTAAACTTCTGCAAGTTAAAAAAACTTATACTAGTTTTCATAGAACAATGTCACTACACGGACAAATTCATAAGATATCCAAGAATTATAGGATCAAATTAGATGATTAAAAAAAAAAAAGAGTGACGCTTAAGCAATCAGACACAAGAAATAAGACGAGAAAATGATGAAATGAGAATTACCTTATCAATGAAGTCAAAAAGGCATAGCGCATAGTGTCCATTCCGAGAACATGTGTTATGTGAATACCTTCTCTGAATCCTTCCATACAAAGACCAACTCTGGGTTTGTTATCTATTTCACCCATAGTAACAGCAAAAATAGCAAGTAATGGCCATCCGACAGCTTCGACCATGAGGCGTACGAGTTCAATTCTATGCGAAGTGTAAAAGACCCCCCTTTTCCCCCCTTTATCCTTTATTATAGCCTGAAGTTGCTTGATAATTGTCTCGTTCTCAGGTTTGGATTCATTTGAAGAACTCCTTTTGGGAATAGCAAGGTTGAGAATATTGATGAGACCGCTCTCCTCCACTTCTGGCTTTTGCTTACTGTTTTTCAAAGCTCCAGCAGGATCATCTTTCATTTTTATCTCCTCTTTTACTATGGAATCATATATTTCCTCCAAGAGTTCCTGAGGAGCAGATTCTTCTGCATCATTTGTGGCATTTATACGTACAAAATCACTTTTGGACATCTTCGGCCACACCATTGGATTATGAGCATCAGTATTCAACATAATAACTGCATAAGCAAGAACATAAGCCGTGTCTGCATTCTTGAATAGACCAGGATTGTCTGCGCAGTAGCTGCAACGGAATAACACATTGTTATAATATGGAAATACCAGCAAATGGCTAATAGTTTCACTGCCTCAACGTTGCAAATATAGGCATATAGCATTGCATTACTTCATATATACTCTCTGAGTAGAATGCATGTACCAATACTTGATTCTTAACATTAAAACTTTCGATCATCAATCTCCCAAGCAATGCTATCTTACATGTCAGGGTGTAATAACAAATATTAACATCTTTACAGACTTCCTTGAGGTTTAATTTAGATTAAATGTCCAATCCATGCTCAATTCAATGACCTTTTTACCCTCCATAATTTTTTTTTTGTAAATTACACCAACCTCCCTGTAACTTAGGTCTAATTACATCTAAACCCATTCAAATTTACCAAAACCTCCCTTGAAGTTGAATTTGGACAACAGTTAATCCTTTTTTATTGTTGATTTGTTAGAAATAAATGATAATAAATAAAAAAATGCTCATTTTTTTATTTTATTTGGGCACCCATTCTTTTTTTTTTTTCTGAACATAACTGAGGATGTCTTTTCTAGTCAACTATCCATTTCATCCTGAACATAGTATGAACTATGTAGCTTCAACTAACTTTAGCAACAAATATGTAAAGAAGGGCACCAGTACTAAGATGCAGTTCAATATTGGTGCTAAAGTAAAACAAAATTCTATTTACCAAAGAAATAAATAAAAACAAGTTGCCCATTTCACGGGACTTCTGTGAAGCAAGTGGGAGGCAACACGGGCTGCTTGTAATTAGAGAAAACAAATGTTGAAACCTCATTAATGTCCTTTTGAGTCTGCATCATCAAAATGCTTCAATTTTTTGAAGGTGATTATATATTTAAGCTTTATGCAAGATCCAAGCTCTTTTCTGTCCTCATCATCAATTTTATGTCATTTATTCATGTTTGAACTGTCTTTTCTCTTGTATGAAGCTGGATAGCATGCAAGTTTTATGCTCTTGATGCATAAATGAATGCAGAAATATAGAGAACATACCGCTCTGCAAATTTTTCCATTATCCGATCTATCTTCTGAGCTTCCCCTGGAAGTCGAAACCCTTTAAGGAATTCACGAATTGCACTGTCAAACTTCATTTCAGAAAATTTCATAGAATCCACATATGCATGCATAACAGCAAGCGGGAACTCCTCGTGCTGGCCTAAGTAATCCCCAAGCATAGCCTGGAAATACAAGCCAGTAAGATGCTCTCTCTGGTAACTCTATCAATTAACAGAACTACAAATCCAAAAGCAGGATATAAATTTCTACCTTGTCTAAATTTGGAGTATTTCGGAGAAACTGAGCAACTGCAGCTGGAGTTTTCTCCACCAACCCACTCGAGATTAGATGTTCTATCCCCTTCCCCGGCTTTCGATTGAACTATAATATTTGAAGCAAGCAGTTAAGAGCCGTCAAAAGAACTCAAAAGTATAATTTGGATTAAATAGTCCAAAATTCTCAGTTCAAAGCAGCACATAGTAGGAAAACAAAAGTATGGCATATTCACACACCTCAGCCACAACAGATTCAATAGTGGATTTATGAGCCTTCAACTTCTCAAAGTTGTTTGATGAATTTTCCCTACTTTTTAATTCATCAAATTCTCTAGATGAAACTTCTTCCTCAGAGGAATCCTTGTCCTTATTCTGCTTTACTGATTCTCTGTGAGACTTTTCCCAAACCACTAGCGATTTAAGAACATTTACGAGACCCTGAAAATATCAACATGTTCCAATCAGCCAATTCAAATAGGTGATGCTGCAGACTAAGCAAAAAGAACAAAAATCATAAGGTGCTTTAACGATAGGCAAATCCTAAGATGTACCTGAAGGGATGATGTTTTTATTGATCCGATCTGCGATGTGGCAGCAGACTTTGGGTCCACATTTTGAGTACCTTGAGCAATTTTGGATAATGTCGAAATCTAAATAGGAAGAGATCATAGAATGAGGAAGTTTTAGCCGTAAACTAGAAGTGTCATATGTTTGAAGAAGAAAACATACCACTCGTTCAAACAAGTTTGGTGCATCAAGATCACAATCATAGTTCACATAAAGGTCAACAAGCATCTGAGAATCCTTGCATACTTTCTCCAGTATCCTGATAAGTTAGATAGACGAAAAATACTGCAATTAGAAGTCTAAAGAGCATCATAAGCTGCAACAGCATTAGATATATGGCACACTGTCAAGCAGAGTAATCTTTAATGATGATGGTAGAGGATAAAACTCAAGCTACATGATGACATACACTATGCTTATATTGGAAACCAAAATTGTTTAAAGGACAAAAGACATACCGAAGAACATTTAATTTTTGGTTAAGATCTGAGCTATCCAGAGATCGTAAAATAATCACAGGAAAGAAGACTCCAATTTCAGCCTGAAAGGGATTGATGCATCAGCTCGAAGAACAAGTGATCAATTGTTTCTTTCTTTGTTTTTTTTTGAAAAAAAAAGGTAGATGAAACAAAATTCAGGTCTAGTCATACTTTGAGAATTTCCCTAAACCGCAACAAAAGAATTGCAAAAATTCCGGTTGCATACTGCAAAAGGGGGAAAAAAAAAGAAAAGAAAACCATTAGCACTATACTGCAACAGATTTTTCAGATATAACACAAAAAAATAAATCAAAAGGACGTAATAAACTATACCTGAAATATTACAGGAGACTGAGACACTGATGCTCGTAATAATGTATATGAAAGGTGAGCTTTGATCGAGTCAATGAATTGAAAGTTCTTTGTGAATGAGTAACTAACACCCTCCAATAAGCCCTGCGTTTAATGTAGATAGCAGTGAATCATCATCTTTGCTACATGATCTATTCCACTTTCCCGATCAGAATTTATCAAAGCACAAGCAAACCTGTTGCTTAAACTTAAATAAATCCAGCCAATGGAATCTCAATGTGCATCCACAATATTAGTAACAGAACAACTAACATTACATACAAAACAAATAAAATAATTTCTCTAGAAAGCAGAAATTGAGAGTTTTCCACCCATTCCAACCATAAAATCCCACTCTATCAAACCCAAAATTCAAGATCGGTAATCCTTTACTGCTCTCCTTATCTTCAATGTAGTTATTCAACAAGAACAGAAAATCATCTTGCTCGAACAGCTATAAATGCATGATGGAACATAATTTCAGAAGATAAAAGTTTCCGTCCTACAATATTTGTCTTTTTGGAACTTTTTTTGTCCCAAATTATTTGTCACTTTAGAATTCCAATATAATTGGACCTTTTTTCAATTTTGCCCTTTATCACCCTTAATTAATTAAAAGATAATTAGTTCAAAAGCAATTAATGACAAGGGCATTTCAGTGTTTTTTTAATTATGTTTTTTGCTATAATCCATGCATATTTATTAGTTTTCTTAATCTGTGAGCAACAGCCCAAAACGACACTTAATATGGGACGGAGAGAGTACATCAGACTCACTACTAAACAAATCACCTTACGTAGCATTTCAAATAAAAAGGAAGCTAATGCATGTTGTACCGGAACGTAAATTCTGTATGGGCGGGAACAAAGACTATAAGTGGATGGATAGAGATGGGTTCCATGAAGGAAAAAGGGAGGAAAAGTGGAGCCCAATTTCTCATTAATACAGTTCCAGTAAAATGTGTTAGAAATAAGAAGATGCCCAGCAATTGAAGCCATCAGCTATCCAGAGGTAAATGGATGGAAGCACCAGGAAAGATCTAGGCCAATGTGTCAAAATCTTGAAACAAACATTAAAAAGGTGAAACAAAAAATCATTTCGGTGGCAAGAAGAGGCAGGTGGTATCAGGGCAAAAGTTAAGAACTAGAGGGCTTATTCTGCTAAAACACTAATATAGAGCACCATCATGTAGTAAGTTGAAAAGAAAACTATGTTAACGCCAAGTGCCACCCTTACAAGAATTGTCATTCACATAATTAGTCATCCATATATAGTTAATAGTTATATAATAGCTTCCTTTGATACACAACAAAATATGGAAAAAAAGTTAGCACATATTCAAGCATATTGGTTACAGAATAAACACCAATGTAGATCCTAAGACATTGAAATCAGTGAAATAAAGAAGAGTTCTCAATTTTCCTAATAAGAGGGACAAAATTTCTACAAGCAGAAGGATCTCAACAACTAACCTGCAGAAGCTCCAGAGACAGAATACGTGTTTTGGTAGTAACTTCATCATTATCCTCCTTCATACCCATCTGAATGCATATTATATGATTCAGTAAATCTGATATGACAGAGAATCTTTGAACTAGATAAAGAAGATGATTAAGAGACAAACCTTACAGAGAGTACGGAAAAGAAGTAAAGCATCACGCTCTCCAACACTCATGCTATCTGGTCCCATCCCTCTAAAAAGATATAACAAATTAAGGTTTCAAAACCCCAAATATAAATAAAATTAGTAAGAGCATGAGATACTTTTAAGTAAAATTTCTCAGAAGGTGAAGATATGTGAACTCCAAATATTTGATCCCTGCACTCCCCAGTTTGGGTGTCTTTGCAGGGTGAACAATTCACATAATAAAATTTGTATATAATTCTTCTCCAACGTATTCAATCTCAACTTCAGATTTGTACCCATACCTAGTGACCTTTCCACCATCTTCCAGATCCACAGCCTTCTCGAGAACAGCCTCTAAACCCTATACAGGAATGAATTTCAAACCAAGGCATATTAGATATCCGAAGCGCAGAAACTGCAGACACAGAACATATTTGGTAAAAAGGGAAAGAGACAGAAGTAAAGTGAATTCTCATGTAGACATGGCCCAGCCAAGTAATTACCACTATACCTTTATATCGTTGCCACCAACAAGATTGTGGATTTCTTTAACGGAAGCAGGAGATGCAACCGTGGACAGTTCTTCACCCAAAGTCATACTTGGTTCATTATGATCACTGGATGAAACTTCTTCAACCATTGGATTCGACCCATCCTCCACGTAAGAGTCTGACGGCTCAAGATTGGGAGAAACCTGAATCACCACATATTAATTACTTACTGTGTATAAATAAGTTCAGTCCATCTAATCCATCATGCGACCAAAAGATTTCAGAGAAAATTCAATCAAATTACCACATCTGTTTCCATCCGTCTAAAAATGGTACTGAGCATTTGTGTTAGCATGGCCTTTGATGTCATCTGGTTTATAGGACTCTTGCTAACCATTTAAAAAATTGTTATAATCACTAAATATTATATAAATCAGATTGACAAGGAAACTTTTCAAAGAATACCTATTAAGAGCAATATTATAGCACACTCTAATGACTCCCAGCAGTGGTTCACCATGAACTGCATAAGAATGTATTCAAGTGAGTCCATCAAATCACAGGAAGGTGTAAATACTAAATTCTGATCAGTTTAACATCAGATTAGGAATTAATTATGTAGGTCTACGTCGTAGAAGAATATTTGTTCTGGGAGTCAAGTTTAGGAGATAAAGATGTGTATTCATTGAGTTACGAAAGCTCCCGTTCGAGATGACAAAAAAATGAGGATCAAAATGTTTCAAGGTCTTAGTTCAAAGATGTAAGTTTGCAGTTATATTGGATAGCCATGAGATTATTGTAAAAATGCAAATAGCAAAATTTAAAATAGAATTCAAATGTAACAAATCATATGCAATTAAATCTATGAATTGTGGCCAAACCTCCACGATTCGCTAATACCATTGAAGGTAAAGATAAAATTCAAGATGCAGAATCGTTGAGGAAGAAGAGAGTATTGGTTACAAAATAGAGGTTCAGTCCCCTACTGAAAAGAGATCCAAAACCATAAGAAGTTGAAAAAAAAAGCTACAACAAAAATGTTTGAAGACAGTGAATGGGTGCAAGGCCATTGGAAAAGGGTGTGGCGATTGGTCTAGAAGGAATAAGAGGATAGCCAAGATATCAAGAATTTAAAGGAAAATCATCGGAGTCCTAAGTGACTGCATCTTTATCCACAAATTAAAAACAAAAATCAATATGTATCTTTTTAACTTATTCGGTTTTAATACAAAATGAAGTTTTCCATTGAGATTGTGTATGAAGTCCAATGACTAGCTAAGTTCCTCCACAAAAATTCGTGGACTCCATTAGCATGGTTCAGCTGTGCTTTTCCAATGCTATATAGATTTTTATATGCAAAACTCCAACTGACTTATGGACAAAAGAACGCTCATACTGGACAAAGTTGAGGATTCAAACAAATAAGTTATTATATGAACAAATACCATAACCACCTATTGGCAGAATGAGAACAGCATAGTGTTAAAGTCATAACAGAAATTTGTGATGAAATAAGGTAGTAAGCAACTGGGCAAAATATATAAAAATGAGGACCATTAGGGAGTAACAAAGATGGTTAAAATGGCAAACCTCGCATCTTTGTTGATGCTACGGCAGTAAGAAGCACTTTCAATACTTGGAGGGTGGTACTGCATTTTATTTCCACGAGAATATAGTGAGGAATTTCAAAGATACAGAAAAATATCAATTTCAATCTATCAACAAAAAGATACCTGTCAGGTGATGAATTATCCACAGAATTGCAAACCATGTTGAGGATTTCTGTAAATAAACGCGCATTTTTACCACCATCAAGACCAGGGTCACCCTCTAGGTGATTGTATCCAATAAGTTTCTGCATTTAGAAGAGATAAGAATTATGCTAAATTATCCCCCACAACATTTGAAACTCGTCCATGAGAAATTTCTAATTATTTAAAAACTTATATTGATGAACATAACGGGTGATGTTTGTACTCCAGGAGATGGGGCCTGGAAAAACATCGATTTCTAATTTACTCCCTCCGTTTCATATTAAGTTCACTTTGGCCATATTCTTTTTTCTCATATTAAGTGTCACATTAGAATTTCAAGGTAAGACAAAAAAATTTATTTGGTCCAACTTCACCTGACATTGATGAAGTGATAAAAGAGAAAATAAAAAACCACAAATGGGTAAATTTGTCAAATATGGACTTTTTCACCTAAATCGAGGCTATTTAATAACTTCCATAATTAATGTGCATCAATCTTGAACAACACTTAATATGAAACGGAGGTAGTAACGCCACATATCACCTAGAAGTGGAATATAAAAAGGCTCAGAGTGGGGACAGAAAAGAGAATATAAGGAACCGACATCAACCGCAAATCAACTTCTTTATTGGCTATTGGCAAGTCTTGAAAGTGTACTCACCCTAACTGCAAAAGAAAATTTCTAATACTCAACAACTATGAACAAAATGAACACCTACATGAAGACAATCCAAAGCAAGCTCCACAAGTCTTATGTTTTTCGTTTCAAATGCAAGCTTAAGTGGACTAAGAACAAGTTCAGCCTCAGCTCCCCCTAAAGTGTGGCCTGCATTTGCCAAGACTGTCGCGATCGATTCACTACTTCTTGTAGGCCTGCCCACAGGTGCAACCTCCTCAGCACCAGATGAAGTGCTAATTGAAGAATCATCTCCAGTTTTTTCAGCCCCAGCCTCAGGCTCTGAACTACTAAAAGAATTTGCAGCAAAATATCAAACCATATGTGAGCAAAGATGTAGAAAATAGGAATACTGTAAACATGGAGACTCGTTCATCTGGAGTACTATTCTCTCTCAGTGAACTAAATAAAGTCAGTTCCCAGTCTTAACATCGATAAACAAACAGATCAAAACAGTTTCATCTATAAACTAGACCACATCCTAGATGCTCATAGAGGGTGATAGATCCACTCATGCTTCATCAGAAGACATTTTACTTTATCTCATCTAAACAGACATTCTTCCGCGCACGGGATAAATATTCAATAATCTGAAGTGAACACCAATCAGTTCTCAACCCTGATTTCATTGACAAACAAATTAGTTTAGTGTACTTGTATCTGAATGCACGTTTCACATCAGTAATGTCATTAGGGCACATGGTGAATACCAAATTAACTGTCCCCCATATTTTGTAACCTTTTCAATTTGATCCTAAGACATTCGGGCTGATCTAGAAACAGTTATGCAAGCAAACACAGAAAGAGATTTTGAACGTCCAACGCTTCTCCCCCACAATACAGAAACAACAAACGGTAGTAATATCTAAACATAACAGATTATCTTGGAGACCAACTCGAATATGATACTCAAGCATATATAGGTTTGCTATAAGTGCATTTTTTTCCTCATTAATCTAACAACTATTCATTAGTTTCTTTTAAGCATGCTCTGCTCATGCTCAAATATCAGTAATTTTTTATCTAATGCTCCTCATGAATTCAGCTGTCGCGTTGCCTATTGTGTACTTAGTTCCTTCTTCTGTAATCTGTATTATACTTGGCACCAATTTGAAGGAAGGGTACGTGTACAGATATAAGAAAAGGGAGCACCGGAACTCATAAATTCTCGATGTAGTTAAAACACCTTTCAATTGAAGCTGCTGACAAATCTTCATTAGTTTCACCAATGTTTGACTGTTGATTGGCGTTCTTTTCACTGTCTGAAAGGTCAAAAAAAAAAAGTTAAACAATGAGGTTTAATCCTAGGAGCACCAATTCAAATCACAACGAAAAAAACATAAAATATAACTAAGATAAAGTAGTTAATATAAAAAAATTCGGTCAAGTAGAAGCAAAGAAGCATTGAATAA